TCTGGGTCGGGCAAGAGTTACACAGGTCTGTATTTTTAAAAGGTGCATAAACAAAATTTGTTTGTAGTGCCTCATAACTGGTTAAGTCAAAAAATAGAAGGTGACGCAACAACCTAGAACATGTTTAAGAATTCCAGTTCATAAGCAGGATGAACTACCAGAGTTTGATCATAGCAATTTTGATGTCATCTTCTTTGATGAAATCTAAATGACCAATCTTGGAAAAATACTTTACTGAAAAACACAAGGACAATAAAATCATCATAGGCGCCGGTGATACAAAACAGCTAGAACCAATCACAGATTTAACTAACACCCAGTCAAAGACCACAATATGGTCAAAGTTGTGCTTAGTGTGTTCTCTGAAATCAATGAAATTGTCCAAAAAGTTCATTTGATATCTGAAAATATCACTCAAACAGGCATGCAACAGGCAAAAATGGTAGATCTTTGGGGGGGTAGCTAGACATATATATATATATACAAGAGACGTCCAAGGTTGGACACTATATAGGCGCCTCCTGCCACATCCTGTTGTTGGGCCTCTTTTTGAGTTGAAAACCTTTGAAAGTGGCGAAGACCACGAAAACGACGACTGCACGAAAACCACGAAAACGGTGAAAACGACAAAAACGCGCAAACGGTGAAAACCGCGAAAACGCGAAAACGGAAAACGACGAAAGCGGCGAAAACGGGAAAACGGCGAAAACGACGAAAACGGCGAACACAGTTTTCTTTCTTTTTCTCGTTTTCACGCTCAAAGACAAGACAAGCAAGAATACGTAAGAAAACTGGGGAAAAAACTTCCACACGGCAAAACGCGATAACGGGTTTCTCGGTTTTCTGGTTTTCTCGGTTTTGCCGTCGCATCGCGCGGGCCACGACGCAGGTCTTGTGTTCTTAGCTAGGGTGGAGGCCATCTCTATTACGGTGGAGGCCATTGCTACTAGGGTGGAGGCCATCGCTATCAACCTCAAAACCATCGCTACTAGGGCGGAGGAGGCCATCGCTACTAGGGTAACCAGGGTGGAGGCCATCGCTATTAGGGTGGAGGCCATCGTAAGTAGGTTGGAAGCCATGGTCAAAGTTTTTTTCGGAAACTAAAAGGTGATCTTCGGAAACTTTACGGTTTTCTTCGGAAACTAATCTTCGGAAACTATGCGGCTTTCTTCGGAAACTTTACGGTGTTCTTCGGAAACTGTTAAGTGGAAACTAACCTTCGGCAACTCAAAAGTGATCTTCGGAAACTTTAAGGTTTTCTTCGGAAACTACTCTTCGGAAACTCTACGGTGTTCTTCAGAAACTAATGTTCGGAAACTACAAAGTCGAAGAGCAACATCAAACCTGCACCAAAAACTGTCTGCAGATCGCAAAACAAGCATGTATATACCGTAGCCGTCACAAGGTACGTCAATATCCCACCCACCTACCCACCCACCCACCCCCCACCCGCAAGAGGGAAGAGTATACCCTATGCGCCGCGCAGTCTGCCTTGAGATAATTTAAGCTAACATAATTAAATATAGAAATTAAAAACTACATATAACTACTATATCACAAATAGAGGATTAAAATTGGGCAGTCGTCCGAGATGTTCAGATTTCTACATGATGAATTAAACAAGTTTAAAAAAATACAAAAGATTACGATATAAATGTTGCTTTGTTTTTTGGCGCCTTAAACAAATTAAACAAAGAAAGATTTGGGTTTAAACTTTTAAAAGTTTTGAAATCTTTGGGAGCCTTAGAAAATTTTAAAAAAGTAAAAATATATATCGAAATCTTTAAAAGTTCAATAATTTTTCAACATGTTTCAGAGCCTCCAAAATTTTAAAGTTTAAAAATATAAATCGTAGGACTGTTCTCAAACATCCCCAGGTTTCCAGATGATTGAAAATTTTCAAAAACTTACAAATTTTTAAAGATATAAATCAAAATCTTTTGTATTTTTGAAATTTCTGAATTTTTTTCAAGGCTCCGAAAAATTTAAGAAAATTTAAAAAATTAAACGGTTTCGATTTATACTTGAAAAATTTAAAATCTTTTAAGGCTCCAAAAATTTGAAAAATTTAAATCGGACTGTTCTCAGAGATCGCCAGATTTCCAAATGAGTTTTAAAGAATCCTAAAAATATAAAAGTGTGCGCTCTAAATTTCTAAATTTTTAAAATTTGTCGGAGCCTTGAAAAATCTAGAAAATCTAAAAAATATAAAGCTTTCGTATTTTTTAAAATCTTGTAAAAATTTTAAGTATTGAAATCATCTGGAAATCTGGGGATGTCTGAGAACAGTCCTACGATTTAAATATTTTAAATTTTTAAACTTTCGGAGGCTCCGAAAAATTTAACAAATTTTAAACAATATAAAAGATTGCGATTTAAATTCTATACGTCTATAAATTTTTCGGAGCCTTGAAAAAAGTTAAAAAGTTGATAAAATATAAAAGACGTCGATCTATATTTTTTAACTTTCTTAAAATGTTTAAGGCTCCGAAAAATTTTAAAAAATGAAAGATTTAAATCGGACTGTTCTCAGAGATCACCAGATTTCCAAATGGTTTACAAATTTTAGAAATTTAAAAAATATAAAAGGTTGCGATTTAACTTTTTAAAATATTTTATCTTTTAAATTTTTCGGAACCTTTAAACATTGAAAAAGTTTAATAGTTTAAAAATAAGACCTTCTTTTTCGTGAAATATTTATTGAATTTTTTAGGTTTTTTAAGTTTATAAACCATGTGGAACTCTGGCGGGGGTGTCTGAGAACAGTCCTACGACTTAAATGTTTTAAATTGCTTAAATTTTCGGAGGCTCCGAAGAATTTAAAAAATATATAGCTTGCGATTTAGATTTTTAAAATTTTTTTGGAGCCTTGAAAAATTAAAATTACTAAACAACATAAAAGATTTCGATTTACATGTTTTAAATTTATGATTTTTTTGAATCTTTTAGATTTTTAAATCATCTGGAACTCTGGGGATGTCTGAGAACAGTCCTACGATTAATTAGTTCCAATTTTTGAGGTTTTTGAAGGCTCCGAAAAATTTGAAAAAATTAGATCGGACTGTTTTCAGAGACCTCCAGATTTTTACATGATTTAAAACTCTAAAAAATACTAAATTTTCTCAACATCTTTTATATTGATATGTTAAATACTCGGTTTTTAATTGTGTATGCGCATAGTGTAACAGGTTGACCTAGAGCAAGTGCCTTTTGGGCGCCGCCCGGTGTAACAGGGTAGTGTTGCGCTAGGTTGCGCTTGGCTTCTTGGCGCCCGGTGTGACAGGGTAATGTTTTTCTAGCTTTGGGTTCGCGTCGCCGGGTGTAACAGGGTGATATCTTGTTAAAGGCTGTGTTTGGTTTCGCGTCGCCCGGTGAGACAGGGCGATGTTGCGTTAAAGGCTGTGTTTGGTTTCGCGTCGCCCGGTGTGACAGGGTGATGTTGTCCTACCTTAACTGGCACTGAGGGCTGGCAACTGGCGGAAAGGAAATTGGATGAGGAAACTGGAGAAAACTAGGGCCAGCTAAACTGTTTAACTGGCACTGGGGACTAGCAATTTAAATCCTGAGGTTCACTACGCTTTTGAAATGTCGAAATTAAAAAACGGTTGTTTCCAGTGCATATATAGGCATAAAGGATCTGCGCACCCAGAAGATAAATCCTGACTTGGCCTCTAAGTTGGAGAGAGGGGGTGGGGTGGGGTCTAGGGTTATTTTGTATTGAATAAAAACTGTTTCTGGGGGTGGGGTCAGGGGACAGGAGAAAAATGTAACTGTTAAAAAGGGTGTCAGGAAAAAGATCTGAGTGAATACACGACCCAAAACATTTCTTTTTTTGAAGTGACCATCATAACCCTTTTTCTTCCCTCTAACATTTATCATATGGAAGGTGTTAGAGAAGATTGCGAACATTTTGGGACTACGGATTGACTAAGAAGAAGAAAAAGAAGAAGAAGGAGAGAGGGAAAGGAGAAGAAGGAAGCACATATCAGCACACTGCGACCATGTGCTCTCACCAGTTGCTTGCCTCCCAGGATGTTGCAAAGATATTAAAAACTATACGAAAATCAAAATACACTGCATTTATGTCCTTGACTGTCGCATGTTGGACTGATGACCTCCACTTTTCCTCTTTCCCACTTGTTCCGAGTACTTCCAAATTGAATTCAGCCGCCCACCTTTCACTTTCTTTCACTGTTATCCAGTGACTTTTTGCTTGGCGCCGATTCTTCGTGCTGCCGCCGATGCTGCAGCCGAGCAGCTGGTAAACCACTATGTCCAAAAGGGACACGCAGCAATCGACGCAAACGGTTTTTGAGGACAAAAGATTGCTAGCCTTTCGGAGTGCCGATTTCGGCAACTTGTGTGTGTCACACTCTGTCCCGAAGAGTTTTTCGTTAAGTGCAGGGGCGTGCAGCTTCTGTGGTGCACTGCGCGCAACGAAGCTACGACCACGGGTGGGAAGGGGTCAAGGACGGTTGATCCTGTTCCTGCGATGTGACATTACTCCAATCTTTCTGCGCGGTGGTTTGTTTCCATGGCCGTTCTCATGATAGACCCCAAAACATTTTCCTCCGCCGCTTTCTGCCGACTTTGAGCCGCTGTCCCATCCTGCAGACAATTGAACAGATTGTTCAACCATTCAGTTGCGCTGACCGCTTCACCTTTCGTTTCCCTCATCCATTTCCTCGTAGAACAGAGTTAACTGCAAACCCATTGCCTAAGTGTGTGTGTGTGTGTTGATGGCATTATGAAAACTGGAGACACTGTTCATCTCTTCAGCTATGTATGCAGCCAAGAATGAAGGTAATAAATGTCAACTCAAGCGGTACCTTATGAAGAAGCTTCGCACGCTTCGAATCAAAGTGCGCTATCCTCCGCTGGCTGCTAATTCTTTCCCGACAAAGGTTCAGCCACCTTGAGAAAATTTCAGGACTTGTCCACACATCAGCGTTCTCATGGATCCTCCCCATCTCAGCATCCATTCGCTCAGCCAAAGCGGCTTTCGATCCAAAAAGGTTTTCAATGAGGTATGATGATCATATCCTTCCTGTCGAACGAAAAACACATCTCCTGGGCGCAGAGTCACGTGGCCAGCTGAGAAAAGGGTTTCACTTGTCACTTGTCCTATAGATCTCCACATTGGCAGCGCTCAAGTCAATGTGAGACTACGAGATACTTGACTTGGAGGTGGATAGCATGGTCCTTTGGAACACCCGTTTTTGAGTAAACACAACCGGCGTTCAACGCATCGGAGTCCGGCGGCGGGGGGTGATCCTTTGGAGTCCTCGTGACAGTGCAGTTTCAGAGGTTCGATGGCACAATCTCCAAGGTCGTGGTTTTTGTTGCCCCTTGGAAATTGAAGGAGAAGATCCTTGGGCTTGCTCCATCTACTCTGAAACCACTGTAGCCCAGTTTGACCATTCGTACAGCGTGTGACTGGAAAGCAGATGATCAACAAACGTCCAAAACGGCACTCATTTGCATCGTCATATACCAACGGATACTGACAAATGCCAAACGCCTTCACCGGGTCTGTTTAAGGTGCATACCTAGTTCCAAAAATCAAGGGTTCATGTGGTTTGGAGGGAACGCTTATTCACCCTCTGCAGAATAAGTTTGTGTGAGTTTGTCACACATGATGTTCGCTACAGTTCCCAATTTTGCAGGGAACCCATCGATTGCCTTAGCACCATCACGACCGCGCTGATCTCCGACCCATTCGATCCACCAGGTCTCGTTGCACTTGCCGCTTCTCCCGCACCGCAATCAGCCGTGCCACCTGCCGTAGCTGCCGGGTCAAGTCGAAATCGTTCGCCTCGAAGCTGGTCTTCAAGAGCGAGTTCCTGTCATCAGCGGTCACTGAAGATGGATTCGAAGCTAAAACTTGAGCCATCACGATTTGTGCGCAAAGAATGCACTTGACAAGGTTTACGTTTACGTGGAAATTTGAGGGCGCTTGGCGAACCCATTTATGCTAGGCATTTCACATCATCAGAAACACGAGCGCACGGATAGCTAGCAGTAAAGTAATTTAGTTTGGTCATTTTTCGAGAACAATGCTCGCGCACACAGTCCCGCTGCTCCGACCTTCTCAACACTTAAAAAGTATCTCTTGACTCTTCGGAGCCTATGGCCTGTGTCTTCACAAACACAACCCTCATGTCCATGGGTGGGACATGATGTTTCTCAGCGCAAGAAATTCTTCCGGAGATGTTTCATACCTGAAAGTAACAGCGTGCACCTGCAGCCGCTCTCATGCCCACCAGGTCCAACATCCTCCAACACCCCCGGGATCGACTGTTCTTGCCTGAGGTACTTTGTGAGGTCGGCATCAAGTTGCAAAGCTGCAGCCACACGTCGGTTGTACTCCTCAAAGTAGAAGTTTTCATGTCGGATGCTTGTGATGTTGTCCACCACCGCCTGGCACAATCCGACCGACCACAGGCAAGGCCCTGTTATATAAACTCACACGATGCCTCTGTCTGAGGCAGGCGCGTCAGAGAGAGAGAGAGAGAGACAGACAGGCAGGCAGACAGACAGACAGCCAGCCAGGCAGGCAGGCACAAAACAGAGACAGAGACAGAGACAGAGACAGACAGAGAGAGAGAGAGAGACAGAGAGAGAGAGAGAGACAGAGAGAGAGAGAGAGAGAGAAAAAAAAAGAAAGAGAGAAACACAGAGAGAAAGACAGAGAGAAAGACAGAGAGAGAGAGAGAAATGTAAAAACTGTTCCTTTCACGTTTGCGCACGTCAGTTGTATTGTTTTCCTCTGAAATGTCCTTAGGCTCAAGGCCCTTGATCCAAGGTGCATTGTGAAGCACCAAGCCATTGTACATGAACACTACGATGGAGTAGACATGCGATTGTACAAAAGATGGTCTCTTAACACCGTCCCTTGGTTTGACTCATTGTTGAATCACACCATCTCCATAAACATTGTTGAAACCGGAAAGAAACATTTTTGTACACAAGGCAGTTCAAAACTTGTTGGCAAGTCTGTACAGTTCTTTTCTGCATCGTTGTCTCTTCAGCATTGTTGCCATCTCTTGTCGTTGCGCTCGCGGTGCATGTAGGCATTGTCTCTGCCAGAGATCTGCAGGTTGTTGGGCTATTGTCCTAGCCCTGCGTTTCCTCCATGTTGTCACCTGGAGATTGTCGGGGACGCTTTGTCCCCTTCTCTTCTTCTCCTTCTGACATCTCCACCTCGATTGCGTGGGCCCGCTCCTTGATGTACTTGCTGTGGTCTGGGTGACCACGTTGTTGCCTCTTTGGGATATCGTCACATGGTATGTGTCAATCCCTTTCTCAGCCTTGTATTGTCCCAAAGCCAATTGTACATCTTCTGGAAGTTGAGACTGTCCATATTGTCCCAAATGCGTCAGGGCCATTCCATTCCCAAAATTGCGTGGTGAGGTGAGTCCTCTCAGATTGTCAGCATGGTCTTCACATGCATTGTGTGACCGTAGTTCCAGATCCACCCATTGGACCAGCTGTGTTGGTCAAACTTGTTGGTGGCATTGTAATTCAAATGCAGTGCCCTCACATTGTTCTTCTCGGCCTCGGTGAACCGGTAATTGCGCGGCGCGTGCGCCTGAAGCACTTGTACACTATAGCCGCGTTGAAAGGAGGATAGTTTCTTCACCGCCATGTGGTGTGCCATATTGTGGAGGTCGAAGCTGATGGCCAGGACAATTGTCTGGTCATTTGCCATTGTATGCCCCATTGACTGGTGATAGGCCAACCATTGTACAGCCTCTTCAGTTGTGGGCAGCATGATAAATTGCTCCCAGTTGCCTGGCTTTCTCAAGCTCCCAGGCAACTTGTCAATCTCATTGTCCTCATTAGCATCATTGTGTCCTCCACTTTTGTCACTGCAGCGAACCAATATGTGAAGATATTGTCCAGAATGTCACACCAAGGACTGTCCTTGTAATTGGGCGGCAAAATGACTTGGCTCTCCACATTGTCCTCATTGTACAGGATTGCTCGATCCTCCCCAAAGAAATTGTCGAATTCCTGGGGAGTCGGCGCTGATTATGGTAATCAGGAATTGTCATCTCTACGGCCATTGTTGCCCTTGAGATTCTTCCCCAAACAGTAGATCCCGATTGTGAGCGCTTGTGAGCTGGAAAGCGGCTGCGGTCGAAAGAATTGTTGACAAATTGTCAACTGAACATGCATCGTCTTCCAAATGCAAAACTTCACACGCAATTGTTCATCACATTGTTCTCCGAAAAGACGGAAAGAAAAGTCGGATCCATTGTGACACTGAAATCTTGTAGTACGTATTGTCTATGACAGAATAGTGTGGGCTCGATGCCCCCGTATGTGTATTGTATACACGCATAGACGCTGCCGTGGTTGTGAAGCTGATCTGTACGGCCGTTGTTCAGTTGTGGTGTTGTGGGCGTTGAATGCCCGCCATGTAGAGGTGTTTGTTAAGCACCTCTGCCGGGACATACTTTGTCAGTATGTCTGCTGGGTTGTCATGCGTGCTGATCTTGTGTATTGATGGGATCCCGCTTTGTACCAGTTGTTGTATGAAGAGGTATTTTAGGTCAATGCGCTTTGCTTTCTTTGACGAGCCAATTCTTGTCGCTATGCTCTTTCCGCTTGCGCTGCCGGTATGTATACGAATGTTCACCCTTGTTGTTGTTGCTTCCTTGATGAAGTTTGCTATGTGCTCCTGTGCCAATTGCATTAAAGCTCTGATTCTTCTGATGATAGTGCTACTACTGCTTGCGCGCTGCTTCCAAATTGTACCACGGACCCCATCATTGTCACGATGAACCCACTTGTTGATTTCCTTGTGCTTGGGCATCCTGCCCAGTCCGCATCGATAAATGTTGAGGTGGATGGGTTCCTTTGTTTGTGGCGTATGCATTGTCCTCAGGATCATTTTGTAGCGCTGTGTTCCCCTGAGGCATCGTAAAAGATGCTTCACCTTGCGTAGGCTATGTTGCGTGGGTTGTTGTAAGTCTCGTGCCAGTTCTTTTGTTGCAACGCTGATGTCTGGTCTTGTGTAGGTCAGCCACTGTAGCTTTCCTACTGCTCTCCCGTAAGTCTGCGTGTCCTTGTGCGTCCAAAGGTGCATCATCGTTTGTGGATTGTTTCAGGGTTGCCGTCCCTGGAGCTGATGCTGGATTGCTTGTTTCCATTTTTGTTTCCTTCAACAATGTTGTGATGTATTCTGGCTTGAGGCTCACTTCAAAGCAATCTCCATTGTTGTGGGTGTCTCTGCCTAAGAATTAGATTGTTTGACCAATTCCCAGTGTGCCAGTTGGTCGTAGTAGTACATGCTTTTGTACTAAATTGAAAGTCTTGTCGACTTCTTGTTGTTGTCCCAAGAATAGTAGGTCATCTACATAGACCGTCACAAACATTGTCTGTTCATTGTTTCTGTACACGTTGGGTTCGCTTGTCAGTCGAGACAGTCCCATTTGTTGTAGGACTTGTGCAAAGTGATCCTGCCAAGATTTAAGACTTGATCGTAGTCCATAGATTGCTTTGTTAAGCTTCCACACTGTGGTTGTGTTGTGACCACTTGGGTATAGTTCTGGCGGTGGCCACATGTAGAGATTGTCAGTTGCTGCTGGTGCGTGCAGGAATGCTGTTGACACATCCCCTGCTTGTATTGTCCAATGGTTGCGCTGCGCCATTGTCAGTAGTATACGTAAGATCGCAAAGATTGGCAGTGTGAAGTCCACTTGTGTCACTGGTTGTTTGCTTGCTTGTCTTGGATGATTGTCTGTTCTTCCTTTGCTCTTGACACATATTGGGCACCATGAACGGTACGGCAAATGTGTCAGCTCATGTTCAAGCCTTTCTTGTCTTGTTGGTTGTTGCGGCGCCTTCATTCCTTTGGCGCGTTGTGCTTGTTGAGGTTCATCTTCATTGTCCGTGTCGTACTCGTATTTGTATTGTACCTCTTCCTCGAAGTTTGTTGATCCAGTCCATTGTCTGTCGAGCGGTCTTGCTCCTGATTCGTGCCAGTTGTCGTTGGTTGTATATCCTCTTCCTTGTTCCGTTCTGTTCACGAATGTTGTCCTTGTCGCTTTGAGTCGTCCAATGTCTGGACCAACGTCTGTTTGCTGTGGTACGTACATTGTCGTCCGTACTTGTACGTGAACACGTTTCCAATAGTGTCCTTCTCTGATCCAATAGTCTCTTGCTGGTGTCATTGTGGACGGATGAGGTATTGCCGTGGTTGTTGGAACTGGCTTCTTTGTTGTGTGTCGGAATAGTGGGTCTCTGTTGACCTGCTGCGTTGTTCCGTCTTGTTCCGGAAGTTGTAGTGCTGTTAACTGTTGGCTGTTGTCGCACTTGTGGCGCCTGTTGTGCTTTCTCTGCATGTCTGCTCTGTTGTCTTCGATGTTGTAGTTGCCGGTTGCGCTGGCGGCTTGTTCACTCTGAACCGTGTTTCTCCTGTCCATGTATCTCCTTGTATCACGCGTCGTTTCATGCTTGCTCAAGTCATGGTATTGTTCTACGAGGTCCTCGTTGTTTCCGTCTGTTCGTCGGATGATTGTTCGTCTGTAGTTGCTCAATGTCTCCAGTGGTATACTGGGCAATTGTCGCCAGGAACGAGGAGAGCCTTCCTCTTGTTCCGGTGATACCGTACAAGGTATCCTTCATTGTTGTAGTTCCAATAGTCGCTGTTGCCTCCAAGGACTTGTTGTGGTCCACGTCTTGCCAGTGTTGTTGGGGCAATCATTGCAATCATGCCCTTTTGTGTATGTCTCAGCTGTAGTTGTTGATGTTGTCCCAGGTCCATAATTGTTGCTGGCAAGTAGTAGAGGTTGTGCTGTTGCACCAAGGGAACATTGAATCCCTTGTCATGGCGAATTGTGGGGGGGGTCGTTGAACCTGATGTCAAAGCCTTGTTCTGCCAGTCTTGTCACTGACAGGATTGGGTCGTGAATGTCACACACATAGAAGGGTATGACAATTGGTTGTCCTCTGGATTGCATGTAGACCCATCTCACGCCATAGCATTGTATTGTCTTGTTTGTCACTGTCCTGAGGTTTGGACTTTGTGCTTGGTCGATCTTGTGCACGGGATAGTTGTCTGCGAACCATAGTGGGCAGACATGTGTGGCTGCTCCACTGTCGATCATGATGTGTATAGTTTGTTGTAGCTGACTTGTGGTCATTGCCATTGCTGATCATGGCAATGACATGGATTGGTGTCATATCGCGATTGCTTGTGGATGCAATTGGCGGAAGTGCCAATGGCTGTTGTATCTGTTGTGGCTGTCTTGTGTAGTCGTCATACCATTGTGTTGTCGTGTCTTCAAAGTCATTGCTTTCTCCTTGTCCAATGTTATGTATTGCCACTCGGCAGTCTTTGGCATAGTGTCCTGTTCGTCCGCATCTGTAGCATGCGTCTGTCGCTTGTTTTCCTTTGTTCTTTCCTTTGCCTTTGTTGTATCCTTTGCTGAATCCTTTGTTTCCTTTGTTGCCTCTTCCGAATGGATTGCCAAATCCAATCGGAATGTTGTTGTAGTTGTTGAATCCTTTTCCTCCATACTTTCCTTTCCCTTTGTAGTTGTTGTTGTAATTGTTGTAACCGTAGCCGTTGTATCCTCCGTAGCCTTTGCCTTTGTGTTTTCCTTTTCCTTTACCCTTTCCTTTGTTGCTGTTGTATTTGCCTTTTCCTTTGCGGATTGCATCAATGTCCATAGTAGGCGCTTGTCCACCAGCGAAGTTTGTTGCCACGCTGGACGATTGTGTTCGCAGTTGCTGTAGTTTGCTGAATGCTGTTGTTGGTCGATAGTACTCGATGATGGTTTGCTTGACTCTTGTATAGCTTGGGCTTTGTCCTGAAAGTAGTTGCAAGTGCTGTTGAAATGGTCCACTTGTTTCATTGAGTGGTACTGCTATCTTCACAGCATCTGGAAGTGTTTGTCCATTGTCTCGCTCAAATCGTTGTAGCTCAAATTCCCATGTTGAGAATGATTCTTCAAAGTTGTTGTTGTCAAATTTTGGCTTCAGCCAGTAGTCTTGTGAGGTGTCCAATGGACCTTGTGCCCAATGGAATGGAGAAGCGGATGCACAATTGTCTGTACATCTCGAAGCCAATTGTATGTTGATGTTGTCTGCGTACTGTTGCTGCAGCTCCTGTTGTTGTATTGATGAGGATGTACCTCAAACCTGTACTGAGGCGAACATGTCGTTCACCATCTTCAATTGTTGATGCTGCTGCTCGTAGTTGTATCTCTGTGAGTTCTGCTGTGGCTATTTCTGCTGCTTGTAGCAACTCTGTGTAGTCGTTGTCCTGCAATCCCATGTATGCTGTGAACTTGTACTTCCATTCTTCGAACGTGCCATAGTCTCCATTGAAGAAAGGTGGTTTGAATTTGTATCTGTTCATGTTTGCCATTTTTGTTATTGTCTCATCTTCTGGGACTGGAGGCAATTGTTCTCCTCCAGCCGGAGCTGCTGCTGTGGCTGCCATTGTTGCAGCTGTTCAGGCTACCTGTTGTAGGGTCAAGGCTTGTCCTCTGTTGTCTGTGTTTGTGTGTGCTTGTCCCTGTTGTTGTATTGGAGCTCACCTGGATTTGTTGTTACCAGGATCCTCGCTCCGCTACCATGTAAAATTCAGCAGCTGTTTGTTTCACGTTTGTGCTCAGTTGTATTGTTTTCCTCTGGCAGTTGTCCTTAGGCTCAAGGCCTTTGCTCCAAGGTGCATTGTGAAGCACCAAGCCATTGTACATGAACACTACAATGGAGTAGACATGCGATTGTACACAAGATTGTCTCTTAACGAGAGAGAGAGAGAGAGAGAAAGAGAGAGAGATCGCCTCTTTCTGCCTTGCCTACACCACCAAAGACAGAGACAGAGACAGAGACGGATCGTCTCTTTCTGCCTTGCCTACACCAGAGTGTCTTCCGCTACCTCCACCCGCTCGACCTAGCTGTAGCGCACCTGTAGCTGCTCTCGCTGTCTCAGACTCACATGCGAGGTGCCAACGATGTTCGGGATGGTCTCGCGGCCACTTGGCCAAATGGCATACCCGTCCATGGAGAAGGACATCGTGGGAAGCTGCCCTGGCGAAGAACTGGGCCCATCGCCACAAGAAAAAAGGAGTGACACGAGTGCAGAATCGCTGGCAAGAGCGAATCAAAGTTCAAGAAAGTCCGCCCGACTTGTTTGAGGGAAGTACGAGTTGCTTTGCCTTTTGAAATAGAACTACCAAAATACATGACCTAACAAGGACCTCAGGTAGCCCTATTGTTGATGACATGGATGTCACCGAGGTCTCTTCCACCAGCGGTTTTGCAGCCCCTCCTGCTGCCAAGGCGTCTGCCATTCGGCCCCCTCCACCCCGGGCTTTAGTGGAGATGCTCTGGCACTTCAATGTCATTGCTCCGCGTGTCTGGTCGGAATGAGAATGCAAATTCACCACAGCGGACAAGTTGTAAGAGAGCCCAGGCCGAGCGGCGCGTCAAGTCACAAGCCCGAAGCCACGCGCGCACGAGAAGTTTGGGGTTTTCAAGTGTTACGGCGCGCTTCACACGGCGGTGGACAGCGCAATCCGGAATACGTCAGTCAAGGGCGGGAATCAACCGACAATTTCCTCGGCCATCCGCTTAATAAGACGCAGCTGGTGGCCACCCCTCCTTTTTAATTCGCTGCTCGCTCGCCGCTGGCCGCTGCTCTCAACAGTACATTTCCTTGTTAAGGCACCTTCAAGTGCGCTGACTCACCACCTCTCCGTTCTGCGCTACCAGTCAAGTGACCTGCATAACTGAACTCTACTGGACATTATGTTCCCTCACCGGAACTTTGAGTCTAAGTGTGACCTGCTGAATCTTCCCACCTGGGTACGTGTGATCCCCGCAAGGGCGCCGAAGCCAGACCGGATCGCCGCTTTCTGCAACACCATTTTTGCCCTGGAAGCCATTTGCCTGAACAGCGGATTCTCAAGGATCTTCTGCAATTTTACGAGTTCACGTTGATTCTTCACTGGAATTCTCTACTCCACTGCCTTCATCGAGTTTCATGTGACCCCCCCTTGGGGTTCGTTTCTTTTCTTTCTAGGTCTCTCTAGAGGCTTTTTAGGTGTGTCACCAGGCTTTTTTTGGTCAAGGGCTAAGTATTCATTCGTCTTTCAAGTCAAGGGCTTAGTACTCACCTTTTTACAACCTAAGTATTTCCTAAGCTGTCTACTGCTTTGTTACCTTCTTAACGCAAGCGCGCGCCGCTATGCGGCGATGTGTGTGTGTGTGTGCGTGTGTGCGCGTGTGTGTGTGTGCGTGTGTGTCATACCCCGGTCCCAGGGGTCACTCGTTTTCGCGTTCCTTTTCAAGTAGCGCAGGGGGTCGCTGGGGACTCGTGCAGCCAGCGACCAACGAAGACGCTGCACGTTTCCTGTGCAAACGTACCTGGGCGCTTTATAAGACGCAGCTGGTGGCCACCCCTCCTTTTCAATTCGCTGCTCGCTGGCCGCTGGCCGCTGATCTCTAGAGTACAATTCTTTGTTAAAACACCTTCAAGTGCGCTGACTCACCACCTCTCCGTTCTGCACTACCAGTCAAGTGACCTGCATAACTGAATTCCACTGGACATTATGTTCCCTCGCCGGAACTTTGAGTCTAAGTGTGTGCGCGCGCCCAAATTCGTAGAACTCAACCCACCCTTCCGCGAAACCAACCTCCGACCAGCCACGCACTTCTTCTTGTCGCTGTGGAGGTAGGATGTCTTGTTTACGGGCTCTGCTAATGAGCCAACATTGGCTGCGAAGGCTAAATGCCCTTCATCGTACAGCTCCTGGAAGAAAATGAGACACCCAGATCGTACCCGCTCGAAGGGATCCACCCCCAATCCTTTCACGCAATGTTTAAGGACACATAGCTCAAGCTTTCTCTGCTGTGATGAAATGACATGGAAGTGATCTATATCATCCTTAAGCCGAAACCCTTCATTCTGCCTCAAACAATTTCCTTTCGCATGAACCTTTCGCATGAAGTATGCTGGAGCACATCTGTCGCATTCAAAACCCTGAGTCAAAGTGGGCTGCAAACTCGAAGCCCTGCGTCAGTCAACACACGACTCTTGGTAAAGGAGAAGTGAAAGGAATCTCGCGAATCTGAAGAATCTGAATGGGAATTGTATCTATATATTGTGTATATACATGTACTCTAATGTATACTATATTTCTCGGCTTAAAGCCCTCCTCTATCTTTTAGTCCTACCAAGCATCAAATGATCCAGTCCTTGAAAGCGGTCAACATCGGATGCAAGCCAAAAGTGGAACATACCTGGTTTGCGGCAGTGATCTTGTGCAGCTCGCCCACATCCAGTGCAACGTCCTCGCGAGCCTCCAGGTACTCCTCATAAAGAGGGCAATCCATGGGCACTAACATGTTGAAACTGTCCACACCGCCACTCAAATAGAGCAAGACCACAGCCTTGTAGTCCTGTCGGTCTTGGACAATGCACGACAATGCTCACTCTTCATCTTTGCGAAGAGACATGAGATGACTGACCCATATACAAAACCCAAAGAACAAAACCTACCCCATTTTTTCACGTATTCTGGATGCAAAGAGAGCACAAAGTGCTTTCATTGCGTAGACAGATCGAACTGCGCAAATCTTGGGCTCATGTAGTCAGTCCGACAGCACGAAGTCTTCGGCGCCGCTTCATTTTCACTCATGGCTTGATGAAACGGGGTCTGCAAAAACACACACGGGCAGGAAACAAGATGTAACCCACGAACCCGAATGCAAGCACCTACTCCCAAACAAACGCCCAAACATTTCTTGACACTCTTGTAGGAGACACTCTTGTAGAACACTCTTGCGGGATACTCTCATGCGACACTTTCGTCACTCTGTGGGACACTCTTGCAGGGCACTCTTGTAGGGC